ATTTTAATTGGATGTTCATTATATTATGTACAACATCAAGTTATAAGGGTATGTTGAATAAGAAGTCATCTAAATATTGTTAAATTATTGTGAAAGTATGAGGAAATTCTCATTGTAAAAAAATTTCAAAAGTTGTATCATTACTTAAACCTCTTTGTGTGAAAATGTATGATAAATACAAGATATAATTTGAATATTCAAGCCAAGTAGGCAAGTTGATGCAAATTACAAGAGGTTGGGTGGGACATTTTTTCTCTAAGATGCTTAGTAACACTAGGAGGACAATAAGAAAAGTACAAAATGATCATAGAAAGTCTTCAATAATTGAATAAGTGCTCCTTATTATAACATAAACGAAAGACTTAGTGGAAGACAAGACCATTCTAAAAGATAATTTGTCACTTAGAGGACCAAAAAGAAAAGGAATCTGTTTTTTTTGAAAAATTTAACCCCGATTAAAGGATATATGATGGATTTCTTTGGAGGCAGTTTCTTGGCAATTCGAGGTGCTTGATAAACTTTAAAACAATTGATAACCACAGGGGCCGATCAACTCCAATTTAAACAATAAAAACTCTAGAAATAATAGAGGCTGATGTACAACAATGTGAAGAGAGACTTTAACCAAGGATATATGATAAAGTCATAAAGGAATTTCATAGGAGGTAGCTTTTTGGCAATTAGGTGTGCTTAAAAAACTTTAGAAACCATAGACAACGATGCACAATAATGTGAAGAGAGACTTTGTCAACGACCATACTATTAAAAGAAGAGCCATGGAAATTACCATTCACCAACTACAATTAAAACAATAAAAACTCTAAAAGTAGTAGAGACCGGGGCACAATAATATGAAGGGAGACTTTAACCAAGGATATATGATTAAGTCATAAAGGAATTTCATAGGAGGCAGGTTCTTGGCAATTAGAGGAACTTAAAAACACTTTAGAAACAATAGACAACGATGCACAATAATATGAAGAGAGACTTTAACTAAAGATACATGATAAAATCATAAAAGAATTTCATTGGAGGCAGCTTCTCTGCAATTAGAGAAGAACTTCATAGGAGGCAGCTTCTTGGCAATTAAAGGTGTTCAGAAAACTTTAATGGCCTGTTTGTTATAACTTGTGAGAATGATTTTTTGACTTTAAAAGCATAAACTACACCAAACATCAATAACTTGTAAAAAATGCAATAACTTCTCATAAATTGATCTTTTTTTCATTTCATTGCAAATTTTAAAAATATCGAATTGGTATTCTAGTATAATCTTCTCATTTGAATTTTAATGAAATTAATATATTATTTTTTATTTTATTTTCATATTTTTTATTTACAAAAATAATATTTCTATAAAAAATTTTTTTCAACAAAATTTTTATTAAAAACTCTAATTTCCACAAATTTTATTGTTCAAATAATGTAGAGGTATCATTGAGTATGTACGAGGTGTACGAGGTTGGTCCAAAACAGCAATTTTTTTTGACGTGCGTGCTCCGAATCGTTCAAAATTGGAAATCAAATTGGATTAAGCATTTAGAGGGAAAAAAAAAAAAAA